CTGAAGATATGGTTGCATAGGGTGGTGAAGAAATCAGATGGTGGCTGCCTATCAGAAAGAATGGCTTCTAGGCTCTTCATAGCTTGTCTTAACAAGAAGCCATCCAAGTGAGGTGTCAGCTAGGTCCACATAGAAGAAACAGACCAGCCTATATGATCAAAGAGTTTTGTTAATATAATATTTGCTAATCAGAAGGGAGAGTTGTATTAGAGCTTAAGTTCTGAGTGCCTCATTTGTACCCATTTGCAGAAGTAAAAGCCCAAAATCCATTTGTAGAGTGCCCACTTAGATGAAGTCTCCATTGAATTCCTTCTGTTCTTGAACCAAGGAGGCAGATAATATTGCTGTCAGGCAGAGCACATCTCTACCCAGCCCAGGGGCTTGCCTTAATGGAGACCACCACAGAAGGACAGTACAGGAGGTGACATAGTCATGAGCCATGCTGAAAGCAACAATATTTTCACCTTAAACAGATCTCAGATATCATTTAGATATAGGCAGAGGGGAACGATAGAGGGGATGAGTTAGCCTGCTGTTAATAAAAATATTAGAATTATAATACAGTTTAAGATTTAGTTGTTGTAAACTCAAATGTAACAGCTCCTTACAGTAACAGTTCCTTTTAAGCTTAATCAGTGGAGATATTCTGCCTGAGGAAGGTGGCAAGCAAGGGCATTAAGATAAGTAACTAGGTACGAAACAGCCTCCAGTTGGATAAGCAATGGAGCATGCTGCTGCTTCTTCAGGGGAGGGTTTGTTAACACCGGGAGAACTGTAGGGATCGATCAGTTTTCCGTGATCATAGCAAAACCTGTTGTTTTTATTTGTGGGTGTGTGAGTGTGTGTGTGTGTCACACTGTTTGGGGTATCAATTGTTTCCTGTGATCATTGCAAAACCGGTTTTTTTGTCACAGAGTTTAGGGTACATTGATTTAATTTTTGGAAGCAGTTTGGAGGCAGCAAACCCCACTGTTTCCTTTTGTCTTGCATTTGCAGAATGAACTTCAGAGTTTCTAAACTCAACCTGGTCTCTGTTTTTGGCTGAAACTGAGAGAGGCAGCCCCGGATCCTTGTTCACAGGGACACCATCACAGCCACCAGGAGGTTCCTTGTGTGGGCTGTACCTTCCCCTCTGTCTGAGAGGTCTGTGTCTTGGATGTGGCAGGGACAGAGTCTTCACTGACCTGCTGACTCAGGCGAGTGCCTCCTCCCCTACTGGTCTGTCCTTCATACAGCCACAGAAACAGATGGTCCGCAAGCCCAAACAGGGGGATGGGATGGGATGAGTCCTGCAGTCTGTGGGGTGAACATGGCTGCCCAGCAGGAGCCCTGTGTGTCCTTAGCCCCATGCCCTGGCCTCCCTGAGCCCACACGATCTGAAGCATGAGGCAGGAAGCATGCTACAGCCTGTCCAGTCCTGGCCTGGGCTGCCAGGTGCCTACTCTGAGACTGCCTGGAGCCTGGCACATCTTTCCCTGACCCTCTGGTGCAGGTCCTCAGCCAAGCACCCACTTGCGATCTGTGGTTCTGGCTCCTCAGTGGGAATGACCTCACTGAGGACTGAACTCATCGAGGGAATGCTTTGTGCCTTGGTAGTCTCCCATTTGTAAAGTAGGGCGGAGCGGCCACCTCGAGGAGCCCTTGTGAGTGCTGAATAAAATGACAGACCTGTAAGAGCAATGAATGGCTCCTGCAGCCGGGCCCTGGGGGGATGAGGCACAACAAAGGATATGGTGCACCTCAATCAAAAACAAGGACCAGGGACCCTGTGGGGCAAGGGCTCCCTGGGGATCCATGAAGCGGGGAGGGGGAGGGAGAGATGGGAAGACTTTTCTCTGATGCCCAAAAGCCCTGTGCCCAGAGCCAGCTTCCGCAAGCCTCCCTGTTCTAGCAGTTGGGCAAAGCGGTGCCTGCGCCCCAACGGAGGCTGCAAGCCAGGCCCCCAGTGGGCCTTTCCCTCACACCTGGGTCCGAAGCCACAGCCCTCCAGGGGGTGCTTGTGTGTTTAGTTACTGGTTTATTGGTCCTTAGCATTACAGCTCAGTTACCAAGGCAAATTCACATACACAACTGCAGGTAAAAACATGTAAAATAATAAAAAAATAAATTGAAGGCTACTTTTATATATTTACTGAAGTAAGTAGTGTAATAAATACTATAATAAGCCAAAAGCTTCAATCACACAATTCAGTTTCACTGAAGTTACAGTAGTGTTTTAAAATTTAAGTTACAAATATTAAAGCACTGAAAAACTAGTATAAAAGTGAATTTTGGCACGTAAGTGAGCTCTTCTATCATTAGTGTTTGACAACCTGGGACAATGAGGAGTCATTTCTCACCTACTTTTTGAGGTACAACTATCCAACTAGGTCAGCAACATGGCTGGAATACTTAAAAGTTTACAATCTTTGAGGTGAATGTTTCCCTTTTGAGAAGCCCAAAGAGTAACCCAGAGCTTATTACTGTGCAAAAATTCTCCAAAATTCACAAAGAATTTGGGAGGTTCACTCTTCTTGCAACCTGAAGGCCCAATATCCAAGCCTCAGGTCAGAGAACCCCTGGGGTGGGCGCCACTGTCCCCGCGCCAGGGGCCCTTCCTAGGAGGAGCCGTCTCCTCCAACTTCTACCTCCTTCCTCCAATCAGAACAAGAAAATTCCCACATTAAAACGTTAAATCATCTATAACTTCAGCGACTTCAACGTCATCACACTCATTCTGGGTGATACAGGACTGAAGCTGTTAACAGGAAGGTCGGCAAAAAGCACGTAAGCCCTGGAGGACTCTCCTGCCCCCAGGAACCACACCGAAGCCTGGGCTGGGCCCCCATATCCACTTGGTCTCTAAGGTCAAAGGCTCAATAAAACACAGTGCCATGGCCTGTCCTCTGGAGACAGCCGAGGACCTGGAGCTGGGAGGGCTCAAGTGGATATTAAACGTTCACAGAACCAAGAGGCCCCTGCAGACTCCGGAAGGGGCAGCGCCAGTAGACCCATCCTCCGGCCTCAGTCCTCCAAGAGCTCACAGTACCCACAGGGGCACAGCAAGTGTGCCGAGGAATGCCCTCTCGCCAGTGTGCCCCTCACACTCCTGAGCAGGCTGAGGAGCGTCTGACACAGGCTTCGGCCAATTTTTGCCTTTTTTGGCTTTAAAATTTAACGTTTTGACTCCCCCCCCCCCTTTCAATCACAGTTTCATATTCAAGTTGAGGTAATCACAGTTTGTCCTCTTACAGGAGAGGATTTAGGACAGTGGGGCAGGTTGGTGAGAGAGCATTTCTATCTATGGACAATGGTCAGAAACCAAGACCACCACGCAGCACAGCCCTACGTGGTGGGAAGACTCACTCTCACGGCGGTGCCGACCCCTCTTTAAAAACTCTTTTGTGCAGCAGCCAGACTGCCAGGCCAGGGCAGACCAGGAAATGGCTCTAGCTCCTGGACCCAGAGCTTTTATTTAAAACTTCACAGCAACCCACCTGGAGGAAATGCCCCCCACCCCCCACCCCCACCCC